AAGGCAAATCAGTGAAAGATTGAGGAAGAAAAAAAACAAACAAAAGAGAAAAAAGATAGAATTAATAAAGAAACTAGGAAGACAATGTTGGGACTTGTCATGAAAGAGAGAAGACTCTTTTACTATAGATTTTAAGTAGTCAGACAAGTAGCCTACTTCTGTTAGAAATAGTGCAACAGGTTGCACTTAGATACCCTATAGGTGACCAGGTGATACTAGACTTAGTTGTTAGAGAAATCTATGTAATTGCAAAAGTAATTTCAAAAATTTTAATAAAGTACTAGCATGACTACTTAAGGATAAAAAAAAAACAAAAAATTTTAAAATTATTATTTAAAAACTTTATTGAATCTCTAAGATTGATAATATAGTGATTATACTCTAAGAGCACAAATCACAAAATTGTTAGTTTAAATCCTAATAATGACAATTGTAAAGATATATTTCTAAAATAGAGAACTGTAACATCATGATATTAGAAACCTGAGATATCATCAGATGAACTTATTTTTTTAAAAAAAACTACTTGATGATGAATATGAATTAGAGTTTAATTTGAATAACTGAAGTTATGAAACATAATGTAAGACTAAAAGTCTAATAATGAGAGATACTATATGAACTTATGACAACAGTTAGTTCTAGACAAAACCTGGTGAAACCTTTTGATTTTAACAAGAGTCAGTGTGACAGATTGCTTCTGAAAAGTTTAAAAGCACAGACCAAAGAAGGTTGTAATCCAGTGACCAAAGACATTGAGAACATTAGTTCAAAAATATAGGATACAAGAAAAATCTTGGCAAGATCGTCAAAAGAAAAAAAAAGTTTATTAAAAATTTGTAAATAATTTTTTAATTAAATTTTTTTTTAAATTTATTAATTTTTAACTTACAATTTTTTTTTATAATATAAAATAAAATACTAGTTTTATTTTTAAATATTATTAAATAAAAATTTTATTTAAATATTTTAAAATTTTTAAAAAAATAAATCAGATAAGCATATTTTTAATAAATGTTCAAACAAATTTGCTTGAAAAAAACCTACAAATTCAGGAATAATAATAAACTTTAATTTTTTTTAATATGCCACAACTACCTCAGTATCGCCTTCAACAAAGTACGGAAACGTAATATTTTTGTGGCGCGAATCAATCATATTTCAAGATCAGATTTAATGTACATGATCAGGAAAATTTAAAACAAACGTTCGTTTTACTAAAAATCATTTGTAACTCAAAAATCAGCATAGAAAACCGCCTTTGGTGCCTTGACAAAAACTTTTCCTTGTGCGATTTTACCATTTGTCTTGCTAACACTTAATCTCAATACAAATGCTAACCCTAACTTAAACGATCTTGAATATTTTTTGAAACGCCGCAAATACGGTCATGTGTCCGTAAATTTACTGGGGAGGATATATGCCACAAAAAAATCACGTTCATAAAATTTTGAAGGATCTTCATAGTTTTCACATGAAAGTTTCTTCTTTAATAGTAAATTTGATCAACAGCGATTTCACGAGATAAGAACTATGGGGCAACCCGCATGTGGTGCGCTTTTATTTTAGTTTAGGAAATGGAGGGTGTCTTAATAAAAATTGATGTAAATACATAAAAATGAGTATTTAAACATTTTAGCATACAAATTTCTACCGATACCGATACGGTTTAAAGAATAAAGGTTCAAATTTTAGTTTTGAGGGTTCTGACATGTGTTAGCTAGTACGTTTTTGAGATATAGCACTCCGGTAAATTTCCTCCTGGTAAGATTAAAAATTCTCTTAAAAAAATAACATTTATATTTAAAGTACAAAAATATCAAAAAGAACTTTATATTTACTAAATCACAATACAAATAAGTGTTTAAAATTAATATTAAAAATTTTTAAATTTAAATTTTGCAATAAAAATAGAATTATATCTCATTTAAATGCACACCCTACCTTTGTTTTAAAGGCACGTACTTTAAGAGGTTGAATTAATCGTATATATTGGCTATCTCCGGCCCTAGGGAGTGCACTTAAAAAAGTTTGACTGTACTTATAATAAATTGATCATAATAGTAATAATTAATATCTTGGGTCGTTGGGTACTAGTGGATTGGTCCCAGACAGTGATAACTGTCTGGGACCAATCCACTAATTACGCAGTGACCCAAGATATTATTAATTAATACCCTGACCTCTCACACATGATAAACACGTCATTAGCTCATAAAATCAATTCAGATATCTTTTTCTCTTTTAATGTACTGACTACGAAAAAAAAAACGAACCATTCTTTAATAAAAAACGATTTTTATTCAACTTATAGAGATCTATCTAAAATTCATAAAATTGAAGAATTCGAAAAAAGCAATAGGGGTTTCATAATTAATGTTTTGCATCCAGTTGAAATATGTGATAAATCCTACCTTTTTTAACGTATAGATTTATTTACATAATCATTTACCCGTAGATACTTATCAAGAACAAGTTAATTTTATTAGCGTGTGCTTCTATTTAGTTCATCGAGTCAGTATTTAAAAATAGAAGTAGGATCTTTGAACTCCCACTTTTCAAAACCTCTTATTGAAGCACGAAGTCAATTGCGAAAGTAACGAAATCGACAGTGAACATGACAATGAACATGAAAACGAAATATTAATAAAAAATAAAATGAAAGCCAGGCTAATTCATTTATCCGATCTCGATCTCTACTTATTTCATTATCTATTTCGCAAGCAACTCAGCAACACAATGATATTCAGGGATTCGCTATATTAGTTTAAATTTTAATAACGATAAATTTTGAAAATTTGTAGGGTTCTTTCCTGTTATGTTTGTGCACATAATAAAAAAAAAAAACAGGATATTTGCCTGAGCTAATAACGTACTAACTAGTTACAGATTCCTCCTGACAAAAATCATGTGAGAGAGTTGAGCCAGGGTATTATGCAATAAGTAATATAATTGAAAAAAAATATATAGAAGATAAACCCCAAATTTGTTAACCTTAAACAGCTGTCCCCAACCACATCAAAAATCAACACTCCCGTATAGAAAAATTTAAGAGCTTACGAATTAACATTGATGCTATATAACTATTTTTTAACAAATGAATAATTTTAATTTGAATAGGAAAAAAATAATGTAGGAAATAGATAGAATTAAAGTTGCAATTATCGTAAAATCGATTATCAAATTATCTGTATAAATATGCGTTAGATAAAAGATTGCACCAAAAACTATACATAATAGCGTAACTATTCATAATAGCCTTAGATTTTGATATTACAGACATACTAATACATACTTAAGTACATACTATTGAATTTTTTGACAAAACGCGTTGTACAGAAATTGAATTGTGGAAGTCAATCGTAACTGTTACATAATTTCATTAACCATCAACACATTCCACCCCACTGCAGATCCATTCAAACGTGGTATGTAAAAGATTTTCGGATATGTACACAATAATTTATCAATACGTTGTTTTCCCCAAAAAATTTCCCCAAAATTTGGAATTGTTTGTTCTAAAAAAAAACCTTACATATATATATGTTCATAATTTTTTGTGAAAATTTTATTGATTTTGGAAACAAAGATAGCAAATTATTGCCTTTTTTTTTTTTTTTAACTGAAAAATACTTTTATAAATTGACGAGTACAAATTTATTAATAATTTTCAAACCCAAAACATTCCTTTACAACTCGTGAATTTTTTTTAACGACAATGGCTCCACCTGAAACGGATAATTCGACCATTGATTCCCTTTCTGAAAAATTAGGATATAACGAGGATCCTATGGCTGTTATTGGAGAAAAACAACATGATCGAGAAGATATCCGAAAGATAGTTTTACAAAAACCAAGTTCGCCTAAAGCTATCGTTTTACATGCAATCATGGGAAGTCTAGGTAAGTTACAATCACGTGTATATTTATAATCAACATCTAATTGTTTAATTTCCATTATTAGGATCCTATTTAATTGCGTACGGAATTCGTGGTGGAGTCAATTTTTTGTTGAATTTATTAGCAGTATATCGTAAAAGGTTTGCCATAGTATTGTGATCCACATGATCTTGGTCACTATTGACCGAATTATAAAGTGATCGACTGTGCTTACCTGATATGGATTACTAATATGATATAGGAAAGGAACTATCGTACGAGCATTCACTCGTGGATTCTTTGGCATTGATGCACTTCGATTTGGAGCTGCATTTGGTAGTTTTTCTTTCTTGTGGAAACTTATCAATAATGGCTTGCGATATATTAGAAAAAAAGACGATAAATGGAATAGTTTTATAGCCGGTATTTTCTTTTTACATCTTTTCTTTATGGTTCTTTTATAGTATATTATTATTATGGAAAATTCTCATATCTTATGTGTATCTCCAAGGATCCATTGCTGGAATATCGTTAATAGTAGAAAAGCAAGAGAGAAGAATAATGATCACGCAACAAATGTTTGTACGGTATGTAAGTTCAATTTATTTTTATTAAAAGTTTTTTTCTCATCTTGATTCAAAAATTCTATTTTCAGTGCAGTCCAAGCTCTTTATAAAAGTGGTCGTACGCGAGAGTATTTTGATATTCCTCATATAGGTCTTATTCTCTTTATATTGTCTTGCGGCCAAGTCCTTTATGCATACACGGTACGAGATATGATAATACATGAGATAATAGACTCTGAAAATAAGTCATCTTTGGTGACACTACTCAATTCTTTTCTAATAATTCATTAGATGCAACCTACAACCATTCCTCCAGACTTTCTAAAATTTATGATTAAAACCGCACGTGTTCCAAAAGATACGTTGAACTTGAATCTAAAACATCTTCGTGAGGGGGGCATAAATTTGGATGATGCATTAAACGTTGTCGTAAAAGGCAAGGGAACACAAAAAGCGTTTGATGCTGTATCGAAATTGTCATCTAATCCAATAGCAATTCCTTGGTGAGTTTATAATTTAACAAATTTTACCGTTTTTGATGAAAATAAATAAATAGAAAATGGTTAATATTTTTCCTAATTTTACAGCGAATTGGTACATCCTCGATTTGATTCATGCACACATACAAATATAGACAGATTTTACCAAGTCTTTAAAACAATTTTTCCGGTTTATGCCACACTTAACATCGTACCAATGTTTGTTTTTAAAATAAATCAATTCTTAAAAGAGTAAGTTAATTAATTTCAGTATAATTTCCACTTTTATTTACGTTTTAATATTCATCTCGCTCTTTTTAATGCAAAACAGTCCATACACTTTAATTCAAAAGTGCACAAAGAATACTATTCGATCAAGTATTTTTCTTTCAACATTTGTGACATCTTATCAATCTCAAATCTGCATTCACCGCAGCCTCATCAAATATATTGGTTTAAATTTTCATTCAAAATATTTATATTGGTTGTCTGGAGTGATTGCTGGATTTGCGATCCTAATTGAGCATAGAAATAGAAGGAATGATTTGACATTATATGTCGTACCCAAAGCAATGGAAAGCTTGTATAAAATTATGTGCCAAAAAAATTGTATTTTTGAATTACATAGAACTGCAGATATTTGGTTTTTCTCAGCAGCCATGGGAGTCATAATGGTAAGTTGAGAGTGAAAAGTTTTTTTTTTCAATTTTTTTAAAATATTATTGAGATATTACTATCATTCATTTTAGACATGCTTCCAACATGAACCAAAAGTTCTAAGTCCAATGACAAAAACTCTTTTGCGTGGATTCTTTGGAACTAATTAAAATTATAAATTACCAATATGTTAAGTAATCTATGAGTAAGATATTCAAAATATAAATCATTTATATGATATTCAAAATATATATCATTTATATGAATCTCAAAATAACGTACACTTATATGCTACTGCACTATGAATACCTTTTTTAGAAATATTTCTTTGTGTGAGATTTTGTAATTATTTAGTTACTTTGTATATGATTTGAGGAGGAGTATTTTTAAAATAAAATTCAAAATTGCTTTATAGCTTAAAGTTACCTTTTTAAGAATGATTTTAATAAATTATGTATATGATATGTTGTTATATATCCACGGCGAAATGTGAATTTCTTGGCGATTTTGACGATTTTTGATTGAATTTCCGTAAATTCATTCTAATTTAATTACTAGTATGAAATATGTCTCATGAAATTAATTATGAATGTAAGATTAATTAATCATGATAACCATAATTTGGATAATCCTCTCCCTTGTTGGTAGGTTGATTGGCCACATGTTTGATCGTTAATCTTCACGTAATTAATGTAGATCTAAATAGCTTTAGTTCCCCTCGCGTGGAGGTAGTTAAAACGTTTAATGGGCCATTATTTTATAATGATTCTTTTTACCGATTAATGTTTTGGAAAAGCAGAAAGTTTCGCTAACAATTCTGTCAACCAATATCAAATAGCAAGCGAATCATTTCATTAATTATAATACTGCGGTCAAATGTTCACTTTTTAAAGATGGCTTTAGCGAAACCAATACACCATATTCTTTTATGGATTATTATTATAGTATCTGCATTTTTATGCGAAGCTTTAGAACAAAATGAAATGATGTCTAGATCATTGGTTGACATACCATCAGACCAGAAAACATCAGACAATATCATATCAAATGGATCGTGTAATCCTCCTTTAATATGGTATACAGGAAAGATCGAAGCTGACATGATGTGTGTTGAAAATTGTTGTTTAAGCTGTCCTTACATGGATAATTTTTATCCTCCTGAACATAGTGTAAAGCAAGCATTTGAAATATTTGCAGGATTTGGAATTGTTTCTTTCTTTGCAGTTTTACTATTAGCAGTGATCTTTTTAGTCTTGCCAAGTCAAAAAAGAAATCCTACAGTAAAACAACTATTATTACCTTTGGCGTTGAGTGTTTGTTATTTTGAAGGTTCAGAGTTCTTTACAATACAACAAGACAATAGTCAGGTTCGTTTATATTTGATATCATGTGTATATATCGATATAGATATTGATTTTTATTTTCTTTTTTTTTAGTGTATCAATGAAGTAAGGAGAGCAAATATCAGAGAAAATCCTATGTGCGCAATTCAATGTAAATTTTATTAATAAATTCCAAATTCGTTTTTATTTAATTCAGTTAAATATTTAAATTTTTTTTTTCAGCATTCTTTACTCTTGGTGGGGCGTATGCAATAGCATTTTGGTCCTCACTTTTGATGCTACACCTTCACTTAGTGAGTAGTTTAAAATTGATATTATTATTATTATTTTTATTTACCTATTTGCATCTTTTGTTTTTTTTTTAGATATCATTGTGGAAATCCGATTTTATAACAAGACATATAAAGATTTTTGCCGTATTAATTACAGTCATCTCATTGCTTGCTGTAATATTACCAATGTCATTAGATAAAGTTGAAGCAACGAACATTTGTTTTATTACTTTAGAAGATGCTCCGTTATATTTTCGTCTTTTAGCCTTTATTTATCTTGCACTTTTTTTACATTTGATAACATTTGGTTATATGGTTAAAGTAAGATTGATTTGATATATATATATTTATTTTATTTATTTACGTTTACGATTTATATGTACTCACGAATTTTTTAAAAAATCAGATTTCCCTCAAAGCAAACTGGAGAGAAACGACAGATAGCACAACAAGAATGTCGTTATCACTTTACGAAGCGCAACAAACTATAGCTTATGTAACAAATATAATTCGAGTTCAATGGCGTGCATCATTAGGAGCATTATTAATGTTTTCTGTTTACTCAGTAAATTGGGTAACTTGTCAAATTTTTTATATATATTTATTTATATACCGTTTTTGTTTTTGTTTGTATTTATGGGTAAGTAAAATAATTTTTTTTTTTTATATCTATGTTCATATATCAATATAGATCTTTTATACATTTAAAATGCCAATAATTAAAACTGGGACAGATGCTGATTGGATTCGTCAATGGTTTCTGTGTATTGCAAATGGAACTCAATCAAGTTGTGCAGTTTATGCCAATGATCATGTTCCAAGTTATGGTTTGATAATAGTAATATTATTCTATAATAGATTTTGTGGTATTATAATATTTTTTCTTTTTGCTGGAAAAAAAGCGATATTCATAGAATTGTGGAATTATTTAAGAGGTCAACCAACAACGACACCAAGACATTCTATTAGACATTCCATTAGACATTCTACTACTTCAATGAAAGAAAAAAGGGCCCCTATTATCGAAAAGAGAGATTCAATCAAAAAAGACAAGAGAGCATCCCTTTCATCCATCATTTTATCATCTAATAGAGCACGAAATAGTTCAAATAATGCACATCTCTCGACTTCATTAGGCTCCAGCTTAAATGCACCTTATCCAAGTTCTATCTTAATGACTTCAAAAGATAACTATCCATTTAAAGTTACAAAATCTTCGAATGCGAAACGTCTTACTTTTTCTTCATTCACAAGCGATAATAATTATGTAATTGAACCTGTTAAAGTTAGGAATTCAACAACATATGTTACGTTAAGATATAGTGACTTACTCAAATCATACGAACAAGATGGTGAAATTGAAGAAGAAGAAGAATCATTAGCGGATGTGACTCTTGATCCTGATAAACGTCGAGATTGGATGGAAAAGTATAATAATATGGATTATAATGAAACAAAATTAACGATGCCTTCACAAAACAACAATGATGTATCAAATAATGAAGGAAATATTAAAGAAAATAATGAAGGAAATACTAAAGAAAATATTAAAGAAAATATTAAAGAAAATATTAAAGGAAAAAATGAAGAAAAAAACGAAGAAAGTAATGAAATTAATGAAGATAATAATGAAGATAATACCTCAACAGTGCAATCAAATCAGTCCAGTTATGATCAGTCCAATTATACTCAATTCAATTATAATCCATCTAATTATACTCAATTCAATTATAATCCATCCAATTATAATCAATCCAATTATAATCGTTCAAGTTATAATCAATCCAATTATAATCAATCCAATTATAATCAATCCGGTTATAGTCAATCCGGTTATAGTCGTTCCAGTCATAATTCCGGTTATAATCATCCCAGATATAATCATTCCAGTTATTCCAATTATATCAATTATAATCAGTACGATTCTAATCAGTACGATTAATATTACCTCGCAGGATAATGTAAAAAAGAAAAAGGTCAAACCAATCGGTCTGATAACATTTATTTATTTTATTTTATTCTTTATATTATATTTATTACATGTCTGGCATACATATGTAATATTTTTTATGCATTTTATTCACGAGATTTTAAAAAATAATCTAATAATAATTATTCATTACAAATTTTTATTTAAACATTTTAATATTTTTTCTTCCATTTTTCTAATACTTTCAATATTACTGATCGTTGAAGTCATTAAATAAATGACATTTCCTAAAGGTCTTGCTAAAATTGAAATATCGTCAGAATCATTTGAAAGTTGTTTTAGAATCGTTGATGATACTTCAGAAGAGTAACCTATGTTAAAAAGTATATATATAGTAATACATATTAATTCAATTAGATAACATAAAATTAGAATTCTGATGTTAACCAAATCATACCACTATTATGAACGTCCTTTAGTTCAATTGCCAATAATGTTCCCAATGCAAATACGCCTTCAACATTTTCTAAGTATGATATTTTTTCCACAACCTAAAAATATATATATATATATATATATAAGTTAATATTAAAATGCCTGAGGGCATACCTGTCAAGATGAATAATTTTACAAACCTCTTTACTCCACAAACTCCAAATTTTATTTTCTTCATTAACATTCCAATTTTCTCTTCCAATTTTCCAATCAACGCTATTCTTATTTAAATTTTCGTATTCTTCAATTGAAGTGGTAGCAACCATACATCCAATTGGATGTGCAGTATAAGAATGTCCATGAAGTAATGAATTGAGTTTATTATCACCAAGAAAGGTTGAAAATATTGATGATGTTGTTAATGTCACTGCCATTGGTATCAAACCACCTGTTAATAATTTAGCATAAGTCGCTATATCTGGGGTCTACAACAATTATATATAACGAAATTCAAAAATTAATTCAAAAATTAAAATTTCAAAAATTTCAAAATTTAAAATTAAAAAATTAATAATATAAAAGTTTTAATTCTTACCACACCCAATGCATTAGCACCGCTTAATTGACCTAATCTCCAAAATCCCGTAAATACTTCATCAAAAATAACAGGTAATCCTTTCCAATCATTATCGGTTTTTTTATTATCACCCCAATGATCAATCCAACCATCCCATTCTCTAACAAATTCTACAAGTAACTTTTGAAATAATGGATCAACAAATATCATACCACCTGCACCCATTACAATCGGTTCAAGTACTAAAGCACCAAATTTATCACCTTCATTAATATAACTAGTAATGGTTTCTTTGATATGTTTTTTATAAATTAGAGAAATTGGATCCGAAAAGGATCGTTCTGGAGAAAATATTGATGATAATGAAGGGTAATGTATTGTTTGATTTGAAAAAGGAATTTGTAAATTATAAACATTATTTTTTAGCAAGATTCGCGGAGGATGAAACCATTTTCCTCTTGGTTCATACCTATACAAAATATAAATGACAAAAGTTATAAACGTTTTCTAAATAAATAAACAAATAAACAAATAAATGAATGAATAAATGAATGAATGTTTGAATATTTATTTAACATTTACCAAGTAACTAATTTATTAAAAGGATTTGGATAACAAGCATCCATAGCACCAATGGTATCACCATGATAAGAACCATACAAACCCAAAACTTTTATTTTTTGTAATTCATCATCTTGTTCATTAAAATACTTTTTACAAGTAGATTGTAAAGCCATTTTTAATGCAACTTCCACAGCTGTACTACCATTATCAGAAAAAAATACACGACTAGCCCAATTATTTCCTACTGTTTTTAATAAAGTTTGAGAAAGTGAAAGGGATGGTTCATGAATGGATTCGGGAAAAAGAACATGACCATATCTCCCAGCTGCATATGAAGCAGATAATGATAATTTTGATGAACCATGCCCAAGACCTACAATTTATGATAAAAATTTTGTTAAAAACATTTTATTTAAAAATTTTATTGAATTAAGTTATTAAAATCTCACCTTGTGTCCACCAACTCGATGAACCATCAAACATTTCTTTCATAACACCATTATTTTTTTTCGGTTGAGAATTTTGACAACTTTGATTCTGATCATAAATAACCATAAAATCATTATAAGCAGAATCAATGACGTTAACTTTATTAACCTTATTATGTTGTGTAAAAGGCCACCAAACAACTTCTTTACTACGATCCTCCATTTCATCTAATCTATTGAATCTTTTATAATGCCAATTTTCCAAAATCTTCAAGACATTATTAAATTCTTCATCAAGATCACCGAAATATTTCTTCAATTGATAGATATCATCAATTTTATTTAAAGATTGTTTAGGTGGAGGAGGGATAGTTTTTATCGAAACATTATTAATACCAATATCATTTTTATCATTTTCATTTTTGTTGTAATTGAAATGTTTTTGAAAATAATTTTGTAAAAAAGTATGATTTTGGTATTGAGAGTTATCGAATAATAATATTATTGGTATATCATAACCACGTAAACGTAAGGATTCAAAGGAAGAAATTGTAGTTGATATTCCACCTAAATTACTATCACCGATTAAAATTGTTGGAAGACGAAGAGGTCTATAAAATTCGGATTGAATAGTTCCTAATTATATATATATATATTTGTTAAAATTTTTCTTTTTTTTAAAAAATTAATCAAAAAAATTAGAAATTACCAGACATAATCGGACTAGCCACTCCTTGTTTGTTTTAATTTGTTAATTTTTAATTGTAAAAGTTATATAAAATAATACATTTATTTCATGTTTGAATGATAAAGATTACCCCCTGCTGTTTCTAAAAATAAAGTTCCACCATCGAGACTAGAATCGATCGCACATTCAATTATATGATTTTTCGTAGCTAGTAATACATCATCATCTTTAGGTACCTAATGAATAATAAAAAAAAAAAAAAAAACAACGAAATATTAAATTTTTTTAAACATATACATATATATAATATATATTACAATATTTATACTAACGTGAAAAAATTACCAAACTTTTATTTACGGCAAGATGTGGACTTAAAGGTTTTTCATATTTAAATAAAGTAGAAGTTTTAACGGTCATTTCTGAATTCAGAAAACACGATAAAAATTTCTCATCACTAGATTCCGAATAACCTGTTTGTATCGGTTTAAGGTAATAAGTTTTATTTTGTTTAACATTAACGTTAATGTCAATATTAGTATTAAGATTATTTAAATTATTTAAATTAATATTTTTTTTTTTAAAATTTTTAAATTTTAAAGCAGATGCACGACATAATCCTGTAGAAAATATTGTTTTTCCAAGATTAGTATTTGCAGCAAAGATTTGATAAATTTGAAAATTTCTAGTAGGATGATACATGATTGTTATTGTTATTTATTATTGATTTTTTTTTTTGATTTTTTTTTTTTTTTAAGATACGAAATATGTATCGGTCGGTATCGGTACATTAGCATGTACGTATTTATTTAAAAAAAAAATTTTTTTTGATAATGATAATCAATGCACAATTTTTTCAACTCTTCCTTATAAAGAAAGTTAATTGATACGTACATGTACATAATAAGTTTAAATAGAAAATACAAAAATATGTAAATAATTAAAACTATACAGTAGTGGTAACGGTAAAAGGTTAATGAAGGTAGGGTAGGGAAGGGTAAATCATTCAATATCGATATCAATATCAATATCATACGTGTCATTACAATATTCGGGTGGAGGGGGTATCATCGAAGCATAAATATATGCAGGTGGTTCATCAACCGAACTATAAGAAGGAGCTTGTTGTCTTGGTACATCTGATTTTGTAGTAATAATTAAAGGAATTTCAATGTTCAAGAGTTTAATATTAGGAATTTGTACATTTCTAGAATTTCGTACTGATTTTTTATGAGATTGTAAATAACTAGCAATAGAGAATGTTCTTGAACTTGAAGATAATAAAGAAAGAGTACGAAAGGAGTTACGATGTGAAATAGGATTAATTGGAGGAGTAGGAGAAGAAAATCTACGATCAATACGAGTAGAAGAAATATTCTCTTGAGAATCATTGACTTCATTAACTTCATTAACAAAAGAAGCATTAGAAGGATTATTCCCAATGACTTTAATTGTTAAAGCAAGTTTATGTTTAACATTGATTAATTGAGAATCTAAATCACAATTAACCCAAGGGCAAAGTCGAAAATCTATAGATATAGGATCTGAAGAGTCATGAGAGTATTGATCTAAAACAATTTTTTTCATTCCAAGAGGGAATTTGTCTTCTTTAACACTTGCAACAAATGTCCTTGTGTAACTTTCAGTTGTATGATAATGAATTTGTTCTTTTAAACCATATTCGATAGATTCAATAAAAGAATCAGAGTTTAAAGGTTTTAAATTTAACTTTGCAGAAAGTAAACCACCTTCACGAAAAGCCATGATTGGAGTACTAATCTGGAATTGAATTCGATCATCCAAAACTCCTTCGGCAAAATTTGATTGATTAGATAATGGTATTGCATCATTTATAAGACATCTTTTTAGAATAACAGGTTTTTTTACCAAAACATTACTACGAAATAATGGACGAGAAAGGATTGCATTACAAGAATATTCAATCTTTCCACGAGCACCTTTAAATGATGAAGGTAAATTACCAGGAATATCAAAGTCGAAACCATATTCATAAGTTCCAGGAGGAATTTTTCTATTTGATGAACGAGAATTATGAAACACGCATTGCTTTCGATAAATTGTATGTGACTCGCGATCTGATAAAAATGAAGGAATATTTTTAAATATTTTTAAATATTTTAAATATTTTGATAAATGAATTTAATAATAGATATAATATATATGTACATTCTGGATTTGAAGAAGACATTAAAGGTCCACAAGAAACAGTTGACTTTCCAACAAACACGAATATTAACTGTTTTGGAGAGATAGCCTTTTGATTTTTGAGAACCAATTTCCCTTTTAATTTACATCCTAAAGATTCTTCCGGATTCCCATGCATAATACCGTTAAAGTCATCTAAAATTATTTCAAGAGAAATGTTTCTCTGATCAAACATGATTATTAACAAGTTTTAAGAGTATTATGAATATTTAAGAATAAGTGAGTGGATAATTGTAGCAATTATAATATTTGCTAATAATTTTGAGAAAAACTTGGCAAAAAGAAAAAACTTTTTACGAGGTTGATAAAATTTATTCTTAAAAAGCATTTTACTAAAAAGTAATCTTTATTGCTGACTATCATACAGGAGCTTGGATTGGCAAGTTTACACATTAAAAGCTTTAAAATAATTTAATATATTTGCAGATTGAGAAAATTATCATTGAAAAAAGTTAAAAAGGAAAGTTATGTGATGTTAATCATAGAAGAAACTAATAAACGTGACCTTGAAAAACACTTTGACATATTGATATATACAAATATAGTATAGGCAATAAATTATTTATAATAAGTTCTGAAATTCAATTCCAAAAAAAACACTTGGCACTTCGTTCGTTCGTACGTACGTACGTACTTACTTTACATACGTCTGTACGTACGCGCGACAATCGACACAACTTGTACACCCCTGATCTTTTAAGATTTTCATGTAAATATGAATTTTTTTATATTTAGAATTGACTTGCCCCTTTGTAAACCCTAAATTAATACTTTAACGGAATTCCAAAAACATCTTTTCCTTTTTGATTTCTTACAAGATTTTATGAATTTCTAAACAAAAGCAAATGTCACCACGTAATACGTAGAATTACCTTTGTATCACACAGGATGATGATGATAATTATGTAATTTTATTACTGATATGTATATATATCAGATATATACCTGATATTAACGTGTGTATATGTGTACGGTATACGTACTTACGTACCTCACGTACATATGTACGTACTCATTTAGCCTTAATTAGTTCATGAACAGTGAAGGAGAAGCTTCGATAAGATTTATCATAAATTTAAAGAGTGATGTAATTAACGTTAAACAATTTAATCAATTATGAAAACCAATTATCTTTACGAAAAAGATAAAACCCCTAACACGTGGATAAAAAATACCGTTTGAAAAAGATGCATTATTTCGTCATTCTTATTTAGATATCAAATATTACTTTTCAATAAATGTACATACGTATGTACGTATCAGGTATGTACAATGTCATGTGGTACTTTATCTCCTCTAAGATAACGATAAGGATGGCAAATTTTACTTTATTTTGAAATAAATGTTCTATTAAAACAATAGCTTATTATTTCTCTATTAAAAGATCTTGTACGTACTGTACGTACGTACGTACGTACGTAATGTAAAATGATGTACGGACTATAATTTCGCCAATTTCATCTAAAATTGAACTATTGTACTTGGTGTGACATAAAAAATTTTTAAGTGTTATCAATAGGAAAAATAATAACTTTGATAATTTTTATCGTTATTGATTTATATTTTTTAATATATTTTTTTACATAAAAGATATCTGATATCTATCAAAAATAAATAACGTACTGATAACGTTATCTTGAGAAATGATTTATTTGTTTGAATTATTTAAGTTATATTACGTAATTTAACTAGATAGCAATCTTTTTTTTTACACTTTTTGGCGGTTATTTTAAAAAAATATATTTAAAAAAAAAAAAATTAAAATTTTAAATTACATACTTTACCTACTTTACCTATTGTACGTACATACGTACGTACGATATAACTTTAAATTATCCAATGTAACTTTAAAACGCGTATTAAATTGTACTAGACTGTAATAAATTGTATTAAATTGTACTTTAAACTATACTAAACTATAATAACTGTATTTAACTGTAATAAATCCTATTAACGTACTAAACTGTAATAAATCGTAATAATGTAACAATAGATTACAATAATAAACTGTGTTAATTCTATTGAAATTGTATTAACTGTAATATTAACGTTAATTGTAGATGTAAACTATTTATAAACTATGTTAAACAACTTTTTTTACTTACTACGTACATAATATACAATTAATTATCTACGTACAATTATCGTTATACAATTGAAAAAGTTTATGTTAATCAAATGCATTTAATCTATTAATTACTAACCTATTATATCTATTTTTTTTTTCGAGTGGTTGTTAAAGCACGTACGTACATATAACTAATACTGACTACTAATAATAACTAATAATAACTAATAATACGTACGCTAGAAATCATTTATTACATTAAAAACATGCATATAGTCATGTCACAAATAATGTTTTACCCTAATACTGTAATAACGAATAACGATAATGTATTACGTACACTGGATTCACTGGATACGTACTTGTTGCTGATCTATATATCGATATCAAATATATGCAGCAGAAATTAGATAAATTAGATGCATTTTTTAACAAAACATGTTAAAATAAACAAGTAATACGTGTCACAATTAATAGAAGCACCCATAAGATTACGCGTCATATTCGCGTGAAATCTTTTTTTAAAAAATAATAATAACACTAATTTCATTATCTAATTTCACTATCTAATTGCACTATCTAACAAAAAACACCTTTTTAAAAATTTTATTTTTGTTTATAATTTTTGTTTGTAATAAAGAGAAAAAAAACACGGAATCGATACTGTAAAAAAAAAGTCGTTCTTCGATTCTCATATCACCTTTCAAAGGTAAAAAATATATAGAATCGAAATCTCGTATATCTCATTAAGAATACGCAAAAAGTTACTAAAAGTTGCTGAAAGTTGCTAAAAAAAAAAAGAAGAGGATTAAATGGTCGATGAAAATTTTAAATTAGTACCAACCATTTTTTTTTTGTTTTTTTTTATGAAATATATTTTAAATAGTCTAAAAAATATATATATATAGATTGATTTTTGAAAAAAAAATCAAGAAAATTAAGCATTAATATAATGCGTGTAAATGTTTTTTTTTTTTGATTGTAATTTTTATGCATAAAAAATATATAAGAACTTAAAAGTGAAGTGGAAGTGAGAAAAGGTTCTATAATTTTAGCAAAAGAAAATTTTTTTCATAATGTTTGATTTTTTTTTTTTTTTTTTAGCCGAATATCAATGTTAATTAAAAATATTAACATTAATGAAAACACGAAAGTTTTTTTTTTTTTTTTTGCTCGAATAACGAAAGTTTTAATTATTATTCGGTTTCATCTCTTGAACGCCATTTCATGACATTCCATAAACCGTAAACTAGTTCCGCTTGTTTACGTGCTTCAATGGCAATAAGGTTTACGTGACATTTATCTTCGGAACTAAATTCAAATCCCATATCTAACCAATCGTCAATAGTAATGTCTTCTGGTGTACAACACAATTTCCTTATATAAGATTTAAATTTATTATTAAGAAAAAGGTCAAGATCTTTATATGAATAATCGTCTTTGAATAATCCAAATAAACGTAACACGTAAAACCAAATTGCTTGTCGTAAAGGTGTTGTATCCAAATCGGTATTTGATTTTGTGTATGAACGGAATAAACTAAAATAAAATTATTAATAAATCAACATGTTTTTTGATATTATTATAAATCAACATGTTTTTTGATATTATTTAAAAAAATAAAAATAATAATATATATACCAGTAATCAGTAAGATCTCGAATTTCACTAAATTCTTGATCCAAGAGTTCACCTACATTCGGTATGGGATGGCTCACCATCTCTACACCATGATCTTCCCAACAATATTCTTGAAGTTTAAATAAAGAACTTTCTTCTACAGGAAAATCAGAATAGGAAATTTCGACAGTAGGATCAAGAAAAAGAGAAAAGTCTTCTGTAATGGGAGCACTTGGAGATTGTGTTGTGATGGGTTTTTTCATGAAATTGGTGGTTGTTTCCGCCTTATCACGTGATAAGAACGCGGTTGTATCGTTTGGCGAATCGTGCTTAGACACTATTATAAACATAAGAGATAAATGAGATAAATAATATAAACGATATAATTGATATAAACGATATAAACGATATAAATGATGCGATAAATATTATATTGAATAAAATAAAATTATCAAAAGAATAAAACTAACTTTCTTCAGTTTCGACATTTTCGATATCTCTTGAATTCTCATCATTATCAAAAGCCGAAGTTTCACGTTTACATTTCAACCTTTCAATCAATTGACTAGTATTTAAAGTACATTGATCATCATCATCAACCGAAGTAACAGAAGTAATAGAGGACTCATTAAGTTGTTGATTAGGTAATGAACGATCATCATCATCATTATTTGATATTAAATCAGAAGAAGTTTTAGCAAGTGAATCAATAGGTATAATTACACCTAAACCAGCAGCTACATCAGGACGAATTTTTCCATCAGAAGAATCTAAATCCAAAATTCCATAAGAAGATTCCGAATCATCATAACCAAATAAATTTGGAGTTAATACTGATGGTATATAATTTCCACCTTTTGTATCATATTCTGGAACTATACCACATCCCATTACGAAACTACTTAAACTATGAAATGTTGCCATAACTAAAATAATATGAATAACATCTGATCGTTTCCAATAACCATTAGGATTATTTGCACCTTTTATAAGATCATCTATATGACTTGGTCTAAGTTCCCATGGTTTATGAGCCAAAATAGTATTCAATCTAGCTAAACTTTTTATTTTTTCCGAGGCGTATTGTAAACCCTCAAGCCATCTAGCATCTCCATTTTGATTTATAAAATCATGTTTGAATAGTGATACAAGGTATTGACATTTGTGTTGAGATGCAGCCTGTTTAAAAAAAAATGATAAGCCATAAGTATAATATAAAGAAAAATGGTTTTATATAATTAAAACAATAATAATAATAATAATAATTATAATTATAATAATAGTTAAATTTAAAATAATAATAACAATAGTTAATTAAAATAATAATTATAATTATAATAATAGTTAAAATAATAATAATTATAATAATAGTTAAAATTTAAAATAATAATAATAGTTACAATTTAAAATAATAATAATAGTTAAAATAATAATAATAATAGTTATAATAATAATAATAATAATAGTTATAATAATAATAATAATAATTATAATAATAGTTAAAATAATAATACCATTATTCCGATATATAATCGTTCATCAACTTTTACAGGACCCATATCTTCAACAATCTTACGAAAAGAAGCTTGATACTTTTCCGTAAAAGTTGGAAAATAGGAAAAAATTCTGTATAAATGACTTATTCTTCCATCACGAGCAAAAGTTTCAAGAATTAAACGTTTAACAGGTTCTTCAGGTTGTCTTCCTATAAAAGTATTTGGAGATGATGTTGATGATACGTTAGAGGATGATATTCGATCGTCCGCAGAGGAAGGATTTGATGGTGGTGATGATGTGGTTGAAAATGGTGTATATTGTTCATAGGTCCATTTAAGTGTCACTATCTCTTCAGCGGGTATGAAATACGAAGGATACGGGTAAATTGGAGCTGGTACCTGTACACCCATCGCCTTATCAAAACATATACATATAAAAGAATAAAAGAAATATAACAAAAAAAAATTTTTGTTAAAAATATATAAATATTTTTTTTTTTTTATTAAGAGTCATTTTAAATATCCCACAAACAAAATTTTTATAAAGAAACTGTATTTATAAATTATTTTTGGTGGTTATTGCTTGGGCATTGTGTGTTAATCGTAATGTTATTTGTTAATCGTTTGTTAATCGATATGTGTTAATCGTTGTTAATCGTAATGTGATCAATCGCGAATGTGACCGTTATGTGATCAATCGTTAATGTGACCGTTGTGTGATCAATCGTTAATGTGACCGTTGTGTTTTGTGTTAATCATTATAAGCAACACATCAAAATAACACCATTCATTCATTATCTTCAATCTTGCAAGGTTATCATGCGTAGAGTTTTTTTTTTCTTCTTTTTCCTTTCTTTTTTTTTTTTTTTTGCGTAAACATCGTATGATATCAAAGAATATAAAAAGTGATAAACATCAAACGATAAAGCAAAAAAAAAAAAAAAAAAATTAAAAAGATTTGAAACTTTTTTTTTCGAGAATTGGATTGGTAACGTCACACTGAATAAAATAATGAATAATTAAGCATGATTGTATGTGATAAAGAAAAGATTCAAAATTCAAATCACCAAGCAAAAAGAAAGAAAAAAAAGAAAGGAAAAAAAAGATAAAAATAAAAATAAAATAAAAAACCGAAATAAAAATAGAAAAATAAAATAAAATAAAAAGAGAAAGAGACTTACTTTGTAATTACTTTAAAAAGCCTGTTCTAAAAAGGCAAATCATACAAGTTATTCGACACTATGAAAAACGCGATACAGTATTTTGGATAATGCCTTACGCAACTAAATGCCTTACGCAACTAAATGCTTTACGCAACTGAATGCCTTACGCACTTAATGCCTTACGCACGTGAACATCACTCACTACATTGGCACGCTCGCACGTGACAATAGAAGCAAGCACGATTTTTGCAGCATAAAAAAGAAACAAAAATCAAAAAAGTCAAAGAATCTTTTTTTTTTTTTTTTGTCGTTGCGAGCATACCACCAAAAAAATATAAATTTACAACGATAATAAAAGGTTATGATAAAAAGATATAAAAAAAAAAAATATGCTTACCCTTAAATCTATAAGAAATTTTGTAAAAGTTCGACGAACATCCTCGAAGGGACAATCAATAGACATGCGTAAAATTGTGTAAATAATAAGATTCAGGACTTTTTCAGTATTTCCATCATAAATATCTTGATCCACAGAACTTCTACGAGGAATACTATCGCTTCTTTGAATAGATGAACTATTTGGACTGTCTTTTAGATATAAAAACATCAGAGAGAGGAGGAAATCAATAAGACTCTCAAAGATAGTAGCACTAATAATAATAATAACAATAATAATCGTAATAATAATAATAATAAAAATAAAAATAAAAATAATAAAAATAAAAAAAAAATAATAATAATATAATATAATAATAATAATAATATAATAATAATAATAATAATATAATAATAATAATAATAATAATTACCATCAACACTGGGAGAAACAGCATACGAAGAAACCGAACCCGAAGGTGGATCATCAGTGAATATGAGAGAAGAATTTAAAGAAGCAGGATGATTTACCGGAATACTACCATCAGATATTGAAGACCTTTTAGAAGAGTCAATCGTAGCAAGAGAAGGAGGAGAAGGTACTTGATTTTCGGAGGAAACATCAATAGTAATAACATCATAATCAGAATAACAATCTTTTGCCCAATTTTTAACAACATCAATAATTTTATCCAATTGTTTTGCACGTTCATTATGGTCATCACTTCTCAAAGGTTGAAATAAGGCTGTTCTAACCCGAGAAACGTTTAACTCCATTATAGTTTTTTGATTATCATCATCTGCGGTCGACGTTGAAGTATGGTCGGGAGCATATATAGACATTATAAGGGTAAAGTAAAAAAAATTTTTTTTTTTTTCTAAAAAAAAAACCAAAAAAAAAATTGTAAAATTTATCAAGTAAAAGTAAAATCAGATTTAATAACGATATAATGATTTGGGAAAAGGATTTTTTAAAAGAATTTTTTTTTTTAAAAAAAAAAAAAAATAATAATGATGATGAAAATGTAAAGGTCGAAACGAGACGATGAAAGAAGGAAGTCAAGAGAGAAAAAAAAGTAATGAGAAGAATAAAAGGAGAAAAGAATGGAAACGCCAAAGGATAAAAAAAGTAGACAATCGCAAGTTTATCCTTTACAATAGAGATATACGAAAAGACAACTTGCAAGAAATGATACCATTCAAAAAAAGAAAAGTATTTATAATTTTTTTAAAATATATAATATTGTAAGTTATAAAGTTTAAAAGAAATGTGTTACAACAAATACAAATTCGGTACAAAGCAAGTACGTAGAAAATCCTGAAATCAACAAAAAAAAAACTAACGTAATGCAAAGAGCGGGAGTTTCAAGTTTTGATTTTATAGTTGCTTCGAGAAAAGGTTCAATTATTCGAGTTTAAATAAAATTAACTACATGGTATAAATAGTGACTACATGATGACCAGATAATTTTAAGAATAATATAAATACGTAATTGAAATTAAATATGTAATGATAGTCGCAGCAAGTAAAAGCAGTAATAGTAAAAGTGTAATACGTAGTATAATATATAGTATAATAATAGAACCTTTATAGTAATATAATCTTTAATCGAGAGAAGTAATCGAGAGTAATAATAGAAGTAATAGAGAATAATAGAGAGTAATAGAGTAATAGAGAATAATAGAGTTAATAGAGAGTAATAGAGAGTAGTAGTAATAGTATGATAATAATATATATAGTATGATAGTAATATATATAGTATGATAGTAATAGTATGATAGAAATGGATGTAAAAGAATAGAAATATAAATACCAATATATTAAGTATATATTAAATATATTAGCGTTAGGCAGAAGATTTAACGTTAAGGTAACAGTAACGGTAACAGTGCTCGGGTAATAACAACAAAAAAATGATCGAGTTGTACACAACAAATTCATGTGGATGTACGTAGTTATTTAGTGGAAATTAATGAAATTGATGAAATTAGAATTAGTGAAATTAACGAAATTGGTGAAAATTAAATGAAAATTAATGTAACAATTTATACTGCGTGAAAAGTATCACGATGTTTGTGATAGTAAAAAAATCAAGATTTTTTTTTTATTTTTAATTAAAGAACGAATAATTACTTTGTTTTCAAATTCAGACGGTCAAGAAAGGATCGTGAACTTTGTGGGGAAAGACATGAATGAATGTATGATATCACATATGATTTTTTATAATATTTATGATGCTTATTAGTGATTCGAATAAGAAAAAATGATGTACATACTGATACATATCAACATATATCAATATATATCAAATATATATCAATATATATCAATATATATCAAATATATATCAATATATATCAAATATATATCAATATATATCAATATATATCAATATGTGCGTAGAATCGTAGAACAGCAATACAGAATAACAGTACAGCAATACAGCAATAACAGAATACAAGTATAAGCATAAATAAATAAATAAATGAATCGGTAATCAATTGTAAAGTTTGAAGTTGCAAAGAACAAGTACGTACATACACACGTATTTTTTTTAATAAACAAAACGAATAAACAACAACGATATAAATAAATAAATAAATTGCATATAGCATAACTTAATAATAAACTTGATAATAAAATTAATAATAAACAATAATAAAATTAATAATAAAATTAATAATAAAATTAATAATAAACTTGATAGACTTAATAAACTTAATATAAAATTAAAATAAAGCTAAAAAGAAGAAGAAACGAATGATCATTTGAACCATTTAAGGAGATGTGTATTGTACCGTTCCACGTGTACTACTTTATACGACCATCCAAAAGCTCAATACAGTTTAGGCTTTCGAATCTGTGTTTCATAGCTTTTTATTCTTCGGAAAAAAAAAAATACTACGTAATGTATGGGTTGAATGAATGGTAAGAATGAGTACAAGCTATTCATGCAAGAACATGCAGTATGACGGACAGCGTGCTTTACTGTTTCCCACATAGAGTAGCGCAAAGACGCCTCAAGTAATTTTAGGATAAAGGATCTTTAATATAATACATATAAAAAAAACATTTGTGGAAGTTATTTCGAATTAAAAGGAATAATGCTGCAAACTAACCATTTGCAGAAAAGTTATGTTTCAAGTTGGATCAGATACCTAATTGCCCACGGTTCGCACTTACCCGATGCGTAACGTTCCATCATAAGCTATGATAACGCGATTGTGATTGTGGTAAAGAAAGAAAAATAAAGCACGTAAAGTTTTATTTGTTCCGATTCATCGATTAATCTATTATATTCTACGTACAATGACGTAAAGAAAAAAAAAATTGCCCGATTTTCAACTGTCAACTTTACGTACTTTGTTTTCATTATTGTGTTCTTGATTCGTTTTAGTTTGATCGTCAAGAAAAAAAAAAAGCGAATGGCGGAATTGACGAAATTTGGCGGAATCTGCACAAGTAAAAGTGAACGAATGAGGGATTAAAGTCAGCGATCCTTCCGTAATTTATTAGTTATAGATGTTTTACTCATAATTTGTCTAGAATAGGATGGTTAAACAAAGTTACATATGATACAATGACAATATTATACGTCCATAAAATTTTACATAAAAATTACATTAAAAATTACATTAAATTTCCATTAATTTTACATTAATTTTACATTAAATTTACATTAATTTACATAATTGAAATACATAATTAAAAATACATACGTAATTAAAATTAAAATACATGAATTGAGATACATAATTGGGGATATGCGTATTCTTGTTTTACGCGTTAATTCATCTAATGTTAACTATTTCATCCAATAATTACGTTTAATAATTATGTTTAATAATTATGTTTAATACAGGAATAATGTTTATGTTTAAACAATTATGATTACGCTTAAATAATTATATTTAATAGATAATTTTATATATATTTAATAATTAATAATTATGTTTTAAAATATATAATTATATCACTAATATATACGTATTAAAATTATTATTTCATTTATATATCAGATATTAACAACATTACATCGATATCATCTATATCATCTATATCGTCTATATTGATAATATTGATAATATCGATATAATAATAATAATAATAATAATAATAATAATAATAATAATAATAATACTTTTATCCAATAATTCATTCATCCAACATTTCATTTTAATGTTATTAAAAATAAATCTAATAAATTCCAAACTTAATACGTACTTAATTTCTACAATAACAAGTAATTAACATGATTTTAATCCGGTTTTTTCTTGAAATATATTTTTAAAAAAGAAATGAATTTTATAATATATATATTAAGTATAATGATAATACGTAATATTAACTTTAACGTTTAAAAGTGTAAACAAATAATCATGTCGTCACACACGATATTCCTTTCATCCAGTGTATTCCAGGATTTCAGAAATTCAGGATTTTGGTATTTTAGGATTTCCATATTTTTATAGGTCCCGTCCTCCCTCTGCAAAGAAATACCTGTTGATCAATACTATCTACAGCTTAATTAAGGGAACTATCTTTTTCAAGTTGTGTATGAACGAAATAGATTACTTGCATTCATTGAGAAATGATGAGTTTTTTGCGCTTGTAATATCAATTTATCCTTATTAAATTGTTTATTACAAGTATTTACTACGTAATCATAAAAAGAAGCCCAAGCTTTTCGTCAAACATGGTTACAACTTTCTTTTTTTGATTGAAAACTTAAAATAATCTATCGAAAATATTTTAATGATCATGAGAAATTTTTTATATATAATAATATATATAATATATAAATATATATATATAATTTTTATATACTGTTTTATAGTCACCTCCTCTATAATCACATCATATTAAACACACTTTACTAATAAACTTATAAAAAAAACTTCTTTATAAGCACACCATAGTAAAAACCTTTATACAATCACACAATTTGCATGTTACAGACTGCGTGATTATAGAGAAGGAAGACATTATATATATATATATGTATAATTTTTTTTTTTTTTTTTTTTTTATATTTATATTTGTCTATAACGATATTATATATCCATAACGATATTATATAATGATAATATCTTTCTATAACGATATATATAATATATAAATATACATACATAGATGTATACTTTGCGCATGGTTTGACATTATCCTTAAACATCTTGAACATGGGTTATCTTGATTTAACAAGGAAATTTAATACAAATTGATCAATGAACTACCCCACGAAACTTTAAAGTAAATCGTATCAGGTACCCGTTCCAAAATAAATGCCAATAAAATTATGCTTTTATTTCGATAATCAGGGACCTGCAACAGACCCTGCTTTGACCACTATTAAACTTCTTGCCACTTTTGGTCTGGGTACCTACGTGTCATAATGTCCATAATGTCATTATATTAGTCAAAAATTATACTGCATTTAGTTGCGAATTATATTATTGTATTATTATTGCATTATTGTCGTTATGAATTATATTATTAACAATATTATTATTTAATTGCGAATTATACGTATTCACTTATCACACTTATTATGAACTTCACACTTATTATGAACTAGACAATATTATTATTTAATTACGACTTAGTCCATATTTATATTCACTTGCGAATTAGACCATACTATAATCATTATATTGTGAATTATACCATAAATTATACCCATAGTTGATGTGTATGTCAACTTAAACATGAGTACAAATGAGTACAAACGAATACAAACGAGTACAAATAGTTTTTTATCTCATTCTCCAATTTTTAATATTTTTAATAAGGCAGGATCGATGCATGATGCACGGATATTCAAGTTCTCCTTAAACATTTCTTTAATTTTTGGTGAACCTGTGAATCCGGGTATTATTTTTCCTTTAACAATTCTGATAATTCTGACTTTTACTAACTTTATTAATATATTTTTGATTTATTTGGGTTAATATGATATTCCAATCCTTTTATTCATTCTTATTATTTGCTAATCTTCCTTCTCTTTGGTTTCAGGATTTTCATTTTACATTTACTTTTTATTCGAAACTTCTATGTACCACGTATTATGTACTATGTTCTAATGTACGTACTATATACCTATTAATCCTATTAATCCTATTTATCCCTATTTATTCCTATTTATCCCTTCGCATCTTTCATTGAACCTCGAATTTTTCATTGGGCTATTGATAGTGGCGTCTGCAATTAAATTACCTGTTTTCATTGTAAGCATTAAATTATTTTAATCTTATCAAATCAACAAATAAAATTGATACATATTTCTACTTTCATATTCATCAATCATTTAACGAGCTACCCTTACACCAACTTTATTCGAGACTCGAGAACTTAATATATTTTGCATACGCTTAAATACTTTTAAAGGTGCTTATAAAAATTCTTGTATGTACGTATTCACAATTATAAACACATGAAACAAAAATAAATGCTCGTACATATGTACATATTTATACGTACGTACATACATACATACGTTTCTTTTTTTTTTTTTCTTTTCTAACTTGGCTCAATTGTTTTGGATTTCTTCCCACCTCAGTTGTTTCATTTCTAATTGTTAACTCTATTTGGTAACATGTATATGTCTGTCATAAAAAAAACAAGATTACCTTTCGCCTGTATTTAATTTCTATTCATCTAACTTTGATTAACTTTGATTAACTTTGATTAACTCTGATTAACTTTAAATATTTCTAATATATATATATATCGATACATATTTGAAATACATATTTGAAATATTTGAAATAAAAATCGATTTACATACCGATACATAATCCAGAGTACAATTCTGGTATATACCGATACATACACAACACTTCCGTACTGATACATACATACCGATACATCCGATACACAAGTATACCAATAAATACTGTTACCTACCGATACGTAAATATGAAATTCGGAATATCCTATAAATATTCCTATCTGATAACGATAAAGTGTAATTCGACTTTCTAAAAATGCATAGTTTTAGGCAAATGACGTGTAATTCATATATTTAAGTTTTTTTTTTTTACATTACCATTATAAATTTTTTATTATCGTTATACATTACATTAATTTTTTTTATTAATTTTTTGCATTAATTTTTATATGCTTAATTTTTAAATTAATTACATAATTTTTATATTTATTTTACGTTAATTTTTACCTTAATAATGATTTTTTAAATAATAATTTATGATTAATGAACCAAGTTATTACACGCGTTTATTTATTTCAGTCTCTTCAATCTCTTTAGTATATTTAACCTCTTTAGTGCTTTGTTGTACTTTGTGGCCTTGTTACAATTATTTTTCTATTGTCTTTTTTGCCGTATTTACAAATTATGTAATTATTGTCGTGTATCCTACTCTTATCATTAGTTTGTGTTCTGCTGAAATCATAATCACTTATATTATTGATCACAATGATTATTTTTTGTATTAAATGTAACAAGGTTGGTTGTAAATCATTACCTACATTATATTTCTCCGAATTATATACACATGTTAGTTTAGTTTGAAATTAATAAAGACTTTTACATATACACATATATACAGTATATATCAGATATATATATATATATATATATATATATATATATATATATATATCAGATATGTATTTATATATACGAACAGTATGTACTTGTAGTCTTTTTATCAGGTGTTACATATAATTACATATGAATATGATCAGGGTAACAAGAATTATGCAATAATCAGGTAACAGTGACATGAATGAATTTAAAACATTCACCATAGTTTCAAATACGTACGTACGTACAAATTCTCTACTGCTACATACTGGTACTTTATCCCTTTCTAATTCATTACTTGTTCGTTGCGTATTAACATGTGTTTATGTGTTAAATCTTTGAATGTATTCTTATATCTTTTACATAAGTTAATGCGCTTATTCATGAATTTCGTTATCAACATATATATTTATATATTTATACGTGTAATGTACACACACTTACGTATATATACGTATATATACGTATATATATATATTTATTTATTTACATATATACTATCTTGTTGTTAACGTAATCAAAAAGACAATCTAAACTTACCTCCCAAGTTTATCCAAAGTACTGATAAAAAAAGTCGCCCTTACGTACGTACGTATGTACATACGTATTTATGTACCTATTTATTTACTTGAGTTATGTACCTAATTCATTTAAACAGGTTCAATAAGCCTTGTGTAAGTAATTCTATTCATTCTTTTAGAATCTTTCTTTCTAAATGTCGATCTGTGTAACTTTTGCTTTTTTTAATATTATATTTATATTTATCAGCATTATTACTCTATTTCATAACCTATTTTACATTAAAATCATGCTTTCTGTGTATGTACGTATGTACTTATGTATGTTTGGGATTTTTTTTATTTTGTGTTGCCAATGTTCTACGTAATATTTTTAATGTTTCACTAAACAATTCCAATTATCACACTTATTTCTAATAATATTTAATTTTGGTAAATTTTTTTATTAAACTTTTTTTTTAATTTACTAATTATATTTTTATTGTATTTAAATATTTTTTTATATTTTGTAATTTTTATATATATTATAAAAAAATTTTCTTTTTTAATTGTTTAAATTTATATATAAATATAATAAAATTTATAGTATTTAAATATAAATTATAATTAATAAATATAAATTTTATAATAAAAATTAACAAAAATTTATAGTTATTTTATACTAATATAATAATATAATATTACTAAAGTTAATGTAATTTTTTAAACATATTTAAAATTGGTTTAAATATTTGCAAAAAATAATTCAAACTTTAATATAACAGAAAATATTAAAAAGAGAATGACAATCCTAATATAGTGGTTGAATTGTCATTCTTCTAGTGGCAGGTTTAAGGTTCAAATTCTATCTATAATGAAATTTGGAAATTATATCTGTGTTATGATAACTGTCTCCTGTTGATCAGTTGGCCTCATGTGTCTGTAACTCAGGTATATCAAGTTGGGTTCTACTAACATTAAGAGCTCAAGACATTTATATAAAGTATAACATTACATGTATATAAAGGAATGTATAACTGGTGTTGCATAAAGTTTCAGTGCAAAATCATGATAAGATCATCAGATATAGAAGATTAAAAAACTGAGATGACAGAAACTTACTTGGAAATTCTCAAATAAAGAAGTAGCATGAATTTTTAATAGTATTATCAGACTAGTTAAAGCTCACAAAACATTTTTATAAGAACTAAAGATTAAACCAGACATCAAAAATATATAAAGAAACATATAATCAATCAGACTACCAGATTTACTAGAAGAAAAAGATACAGAAGTATATCATACTAGGTCATTTAGATTTGTAGTCTAGAAAAAACTGCCAATTCTAAGTTGCAGCTAGTAAAAGATGATGTAAAAGATACCAGGAAGATAGATACTAGGATTTTAGTAAACTTTACAAGAGTAGAAATAATGTAATATAGTGGTTAAATAGGTAACTTCTGTAACTGCAAATATTAGATAACTATAGCATATTGCATAAATTAGATCTATATATATAAGATATAAAGATTTTAGTAAGTTTCT